GTTACCTTGGTTCTTGCAACAAGAATTGTTCATCTATACCATGTTACCTTGGTTCTTGCAACAAGAATTGTTCATCTATACCATGTTACCTTGGTTCTTGCAACAAGAATTGTTCATCTATACCATGTTACCTTGGTTCTTGCAACAAGAATTGTTCATCTATACCATTTTACCTTGGTTCTTGCAACAAGAATTGTTCACCTATACCATTTTACCTTGGTTCTTGTTTACTTTTCCAGAAATACGGCCTTACTGTTATGACAATTTTCAAAATACATTTAAAATGGCAATTATTACACTTCCTCTGAAATGTAAGTGTTCTGTTTCGTTTGTGTGTTTAATTTTGTATGATACTACTTGAGGACTATCTGTGTTAGAAAATCTATAATTTTGGCTCCACAGTGGTAGGTCTATAGACATGCAACACTAAAAACCAGGTCTCAATACAGCCCATTGTGTAGCTTTGTGATTATCCCCACCTAATTTATAGTGATAGACTAGAGGTAAAGCAGGTAGTCTACACCACCCAATGCCAACTCTTGGGCAAGTCTTTTACTAATGAATAGTAAGATTGACCGTCATGTTATATGACCCTCACAGCTGAAAAGATGAGCATGTTCGGTAATGGGTTTTAAATCCATAACCTGAAAATTGTGAGATGAGTGCCCTGACCACCAAACCATCCTAGGCCTAAACATTCAGCTGGTACCTGAAAATTAAAATGAAGTACGTGTGTAAAAATAATTCAAAAAGCATTTATTTGTGTTTTCATAAATAAATAAAAAAAACATATAAAATTAATTCACTTCAATTTTGGTAGATCTAAGGTTAAAAACTACCTATTTAAAAGTAGTTATGCATACTTACTTATTATTTGTATGCTAGATAAGTTTCTGACAATAGCTTTTGGTATCCAGTCACAATTAATAGTAAAGCAATTTCCATACTGGGTGGTATAGGTCTTGTAAATGGGACTATGTACAAATGAGAAAAATAAATAGATAAGTTAACATTCAAATGGCACCTTGTTTCCAAACATAAATAATAATAGACTTTAATAGTTTCAAGCAAAGTTTATTCACTGATTATAAATATTATTTCATTACAAGTTACAGCTTTTAGAGTAAAGAAAAATTTTTAAAACACGTATAACATTTTGATCACTAGTGTGATCATTCTCAAGTAGAAAATGTTTTAAAGGTAAAGAAGGTTTAAGTATTTAAATTTTAGAATTGATAGTGGTTATTTTTATATATATGTGCATATTAATCTGCACTGCATGAATGACAGATTAGTTATTTATTTGTGGATCAACAGAAAAATTATACAAAAATAGTAAGACGAGATGTCCAGGGGGTACAACATCCCCTAGTTTGAAGTGAGAGTGATTGTGAGTCATGCTGGTAGTGTGTGGGTGTGTGTGTGTGCTCTAAGAAAAATGACATTAGTAAGTCTGAGGGTTTATAATGCTAAAAAATTGGGTTTCAATAGTTGTGGCGGGTACAGCACAAATAGACAATTTTGAAACTTTGTGATCAATAACAAAATACTTTCTGCAGCAGGGTCCTGTTATATAACTCATTCACTGTTTTACGTGAAAGTCTATCTGTGATTAGTCTTTGACTATCGCATAGAGCAGAGATACTACAGGATCCTTAAGATCAAATTTCTCGATTGGACAGCCACAGTAAGAATGTGAATTGTAAATAGATTCACCTCTGAATTGAAAGAATCAGGATTTAAACCTTTCTGTTGACCTCAAACCTATATCCATTATTCAGGATGATATCAGTGTTGTATAACTGAAACGGAAGTTTCAATCAGAGACTTGACAAATTGTAAGGTTTAAATCAAAGCTTTGCAGCACTAACATCCATCAAACTCAACTTCATATATTTTGTATATTTACAGGATACTCTAAGTCTAAATAGCACTCAGTCCACCAGGAAGTGAGAATGAGATTATCACCACAAGGTTGAACAACAAGCACACTGCTACACCTGTGGCTATCTGTCAGAAGTTTGAAGAGAACTTGATGTAATTTTTGATGTATAATAGGATATGGACAGCTTCTTTTCTATTGTCCAACACCGCATAATTAAAGTAGAAGCTTCCTTCTTTTTGTGCAGCGTCACCTGTTCAGGCCTGAATGCTACAATGGCAGTGTTGTCATGGTAACTAAACGTGCTTACCCACTAGTAACCAGTATAGATGCGCCAAAATTCTTGGGTAAGATCAAGTTTTGTTGGTAATTTAAATTTTTTTTAATTTCTAATCTTCAGACTTATATTTATGTAATTATAATTTATATTATCCAACACAATTTCTTCTTATATTTTGAGGTATTTCCTTAGTCGTTTGTGTCTATACTGCATCATTTTTGGATCCTTTCTACTTAAATATTGTTGC